TTTGAAATTAATTTGTTGAAATCACAGGTAGAGTATTGGGAAGAGAGGCATTAAGTTGTGTGTTTAGAGGAAGAGTAGGGTTTCTGAGCACTGCAGTGGCAATTAAGCGGTTGGATAAGGAAGATAAAGAGTCACCAAAGGCATTTTGTAGGGAATTGATGATTGCTAGTTCTCTGCATAACCAGTATATTGTTCCTCTGGTGGGATACTGTACTGATCCTGAGGAAGGCTTGTTTCTAGTCTACAAGTATGTTTCCGGTGGAAGCTTAGAACGATTTTTGCATGGTACTATTTGTTTATTCTTAATTTTTGTTAAATAAGGGTGTAGTTTGTTCATTTATATCGAAGTTTGTGAGCGAGTCAGATGCATTGTTGATGTGCAGGGAAAAAGACGGGAGGGAAAGCTGGTCGAGCGCCTCCGTGGTGGGCCAGGCATAAGATTGCTGTAGGAGTTGCGGAGGCAATTGGATACTTGCATAGTGGAACTGAAAGATGTGTTGTTCATAGGGATATCAAGCCCTCAAATATCCTTCTTTCTTCCAAGAAGGCACCTAAGGTGTAGAAGAACATTTTCTTGAATTGCCTTATGTACTTGAAACAGATTTAACAACCATACTATCCATAACTCATAGACTATGTGGAGCCTAATTATTTTGTACACTTATCCCCCTCAACTGTTAGTTTATTGGGTTAGTCCATATACACATTAGGTTTCCCTAATATTCCTAGTATATGAAGGACATGTTAGATGTTACACGTTTTGTTTGAGAAATCATGACAAAAATTTGCATTCTTCTCCATTATAGTAAAAACATGCATTGACAAGTGGACATTAGAGTGAACCACCATAATTTTGTGTATACTTTGCTCATTTTTATTTTTTATTTTCTGTTTTTAATATTGCCTTGAAAGAAGGGATTAGGGCGTAATTCATAAAAATATCTACAATAACATTTGTCTCATCCTCAATTTTTCTGTCATAATCTATATTTGTGATGTATGCAGTTGCATGACTTTGGATTGGCTACATGGACTCCATTGCCTTCTGTGCCGTTTCTCTGCAAAACTGTCAAAGGAACATTTGGGTATGATCTTAATTTAGAAACCTTGACTTTCATTGTAGAAGAATACATTATATTCTGATGTTTCTTCCTGAATGGTCACTTATGTCCCTATTTCCTCAATCTCATGGACAGGTACTTGGCTCCTGAATATTTTCTGCACGGCAAGGTATCTGATAAAACTGATGTTTACGCCTTTGGGGTTGTCCTCTTGGAACTAATATCTGGCCAGAAGCCAATTGAGGCAAAAAGAGGACCTGGTGAAGAAAACTTGGTCTCATGGGTAGGTTATTGATCTAGTTTATACCTAATTTGCCTAGGTTTTGTCTATTTCTTAGATAGTTAAGTCATCATTCATATTTTTGTATTCTATTATGCACAACTACATTAAAATGCATATACTTGATAGAATACTTTTTTGACCAGTTTCTAATAAGATNATATTTTTGTATTCTATTATGCACAACTACATTAAAATGCATATACTTGATAGAATACTTTTTTGACCAGTTTCTAATAAGATAGGTCAAAACTCTGAACAACTTGTGAACTATCTAATAATGTGATTATACCAATCCATTTCTATGACAGATCTTATTGTTAGTATTAGCGAAACTATATTTTCGTTAATCTCTTCTTTTTTAAGGAAAAAAATTCTGTTAACTGCTCAATATATTTTTATGCTCACAATTGAATTACATTAGTATTACTAGGGGCATTAGACCATTCCAAATGTAGCAGCAGTGCCAGATGGTTGTCAAAGATATTGAAGCTCGGGAAAATGTCTAAGTTAGTTTTTAGGGTACGATGTATTTTTGGCACTCTCTTGATATTGGTGGGACCTCAATAACTAGGCTGTTGATTAGATTATCTGTCTGTTACTAGAAATGGCATATGCATGTAAATATGTTATTTCTTTGTGCTGAATTTATCAAATGCATTAGTCCTAGGACCTTGTAAATTAATCAACCAATAATTTTGGATCAAACAGGGTTGATATGACGTTGTACACAAATATTTGTACTCATTATTCTTTTGGAGACTTCTATATCTTGGATGAAGTGAACGCATATTGCATCCATTGCTCCAGTTTGTAATATTTGTTAATTTTCATTGACATCATTACTTTTAAAAACCATTGGAAATCAGCTGGTCACCCATGTGGGTTGACCAGACCCATATAATATAGAAATGGGTCGGACTTTGGAGGATGGAGTTCATGTTTGAATATCAAAGAAAATGATCCTCCATATATTTCTTGCCAATGAGAGTTACGTGAACATATAAAAAAGAACAGAAAATTAATGTATGAAATAGAGACTAAATGAGTAGACTTGTTAATCAATAAATTCATCCAAAAGTTGGCCCTTGCATTGTGAGAAACGAGCTCTTTTAATTGTGACTAAGTTTAGACCAAAAGGGGTGCTCCAATCTTGTTGAAAAGAAGGCAATTGATTCAAGCTTAGTTTTCTTGGAATATCTTTAAAATCAAGTAAGGTTTCTATATGGTTTTACTTTGTAGTGTGTGTATCATTGCCATAACAGTATATATATATATTTTTTTTGGCCACACGCTGAAAATGTTCAGTATGATGAAAAGTGCATGTATGCAATTTATATTAAAGCTTGAGATGGCAGTTCTCAAATTACAATGGATAAATTCACAAATATTTTAAAGTGTATTTTGTGATTTCATTCCTATTGCAAAAACTGAAATTTTAAAAGATAATCTCATTCTGTATTCTAAATATCGGGCCACATAATTGATACGGTTAGAAAGTATTTTCCATGAGCTTTCCCACCGTATATATGCCATGCTTAATTTCGAGATAAGATGGAAAAAATATAATTCTTCTAAGGTTGGATCAAAACGACGACATGTTGAAGAATGGATGCTGGTTGCCATGTGGGTTGACTCATTTCTTATACTTTGAATGGGGTTTGAACTTTGAATTCAAATCCTCAACTTCCCTCTATTTCTCTTGGCTCTTATTGCATTAAAGAAGCATAATAATGGCTGAAAATGAGTGATTTTCGTGCATGAAAATACACCAAAATAGAGTAGGACCAAAAACCACCATTTGGTAGATATCTCACAAAACCTTGCACTTAAATTGTGACAAAGAACTCCTTACATTGTGATTGAGTTCTAGGACATTGGAGTGCTACAAAATTCAAAATTAAGAGTGGAAATTTGCAAGTGGATTCAAGTTCGAAGATCTTGAAATTATCATTTCATTGTTTGCAAGTAAGGTTTCTTGAACAGAATTTAATTGATTAGAATGCTATTTAATCTTTCAGTAACTATAGACTGAAATAGCATTCAAAACTTGTTTTTCTATGATACCATGTTAGAAACTATAAATTGAAGAGAATTGAGACAATGAATGCAAAGGAAAGGTTCTTGAAGAAGGATTTGGATCAAAGTCGCACGACTGTACTTCTAATATTGTGTTAGATTTCAGTTTTTTAGATTCTTCAGACATTAGAAGTTCTGTGAGCTGAGTCATCGAAGGAGGAGCAGAAATAGAAGTTTTTTTGTTTGACATAGTGGGAGCTGCGGCTTTGGTCATGAATTCCTGAAAATCTTTCTTTTTCCTATTTTTCTGGGAGATGACTAAACAGGAAAATGTAAGTTGACTACTAAAGAAGTTTTAGGTCTAATATCATATTAAAATTTATAGACTAAAACTAATTGATACACAGATACTAATGGATCTCCACCTCTTATCCCATTTTATAAGACGTTTTGATTGCCGGAAGATTCATTCTTATGTGACATGTGTTTCAAAGATCAATGAACCGCGCTCTACCTTTTCAGGCAAAGCCGCTATTGCAGCAAGGAGCCGTTGAAAAATTGCTTGATCCACGCCTAAGATTCACTACAAAGAATTCCAATCAGATAGCTCAGATGGTTCAAGCCGCTGCTGCTTGCTTACAGAGTAAAGAATCACGTAGGCCTGAAATGGGCGAGATCATAGCCATACTCAAGGGAAGAGAATACAATTGCTTAATCAACAAGAAGGTTATGCCAGGTAACAGCAGTGTAATCGATTGTTACCCTCAATTTGAGCAGACTAGAAGTGAAATGAAAACTCATTTAGCCTCGGCCGTGCTAGGCATCAAGTTTGATGACGAAGATCAACTCTACTCCTGGTGATACACCAATCCTTTTGTAACTGATGTTCCTTTCTTCTTTTCTTTTTGTATTCAATTTAGGTACTGGTTAAAGAAAGAATTTTTAGGCTTAGATCCAAAAAGTTCGATTTTGTATATTGAAACAATAGCCTGATGAGTTATTGTGCTTATAGATCTGCATGTCCTTGTCCAAATTCTTTTCTCGACTAAACTTGCAGATATAATTTGTAAAAGATGTTTTAACATTCGGAATTCAAACTATTCATTTCAAATTAGAGGTTTACATTTTACGGGGCTTCATTCCGTTATTTTTCGTGCATTATCTATTTCTCAGGCTTGTCGAAATATCTCTTGCTTCTGAAGTACTTGGATGTTGCCTTGCATTGGGCTTTCTTCGCCAAAAACGAAAAAATGATTACATTTTTGTGGGTTTTTCTGATTTCATTCGATCTATTTTCTTTTGCAGTTCAATGTGTTGGTTTAAGTCTTTTATAAACTGTCGAGGACATGCATGTAGATGACTTTAGATAGAGTGGATTAGAGGTGGTTGCATCGAGTTTCACACTTATAATATAATCCGGTTGTGGGAACGTTAGTTGACACATGCCAGGCTGGCTGCCAGGGGCCCACACACCCACGTGGCTTGTGGACCTCTACAAATAATCAATATAGTAATGTTTTTAATACTATTGGTGTCACGCACCAGTGTAAATGGCAAATGTATGACATTAAATGATATATTCAGTTTAATGTAATATTATATGGTTCATTTAATTGAATATATCAATTATGACCATCTAAATTAGTATTCTAAAACCATTTTTATTAGCTGGGGTGGCTTGGGGGTCATTTGACCCCTAGACTTTTGGGCAAACTTTATTTTATTTTATTTTATTTTTTTGGTCTCAAATTTTGAAATAACTAGGGATGTCAAATAAAGTTGAAATTCTTAATACCATTTCAAAGTGTTGACAATCTAATTTTTTACGTCGTTAATGGGGCGCAAGATGATCAATCGTAGCAAATGTTATGGTTTGTGTAAGTAGGCCATTTTCAAATTAGTATTTCGAGAATTTTGATAACATGTTAATTTTAAGAATGATTTGACGATCATACGTTAGTTGAATCCACAAATCGTTTAAGTCATCTCGAAACTTATTTACGAGAACTACATCATAGACATATCGGATGGTCCAAATAAATATTGGAAATAGTTAAAGGCACGTCAAACGTGAAACTTAAAGATATGTCTAACTCGTATTTTCTTTAAATTTTTTCAATTATTTCGTAAACATTGATTTTTTGTGCGATAAATTTCTTAAAATAATTTACAGCATATTATTAGGAAATTTTACATGGTGTACGATATCGAAAATTTTCAAATTTTTACATCCGACAAAGTCATACCTTATGTAAATTTACGTGGAGTATGATTTTTTTTTTTTTTTGGATATAAATTTTCGAATGTAAAATTCCTCACAACTTTTTTTATTTTTGGATATAAATTTTCGAATGTAAAATTCCTCACAACTTTTTTGAAAGTTTGATCGTGTCCCTTAACTCAAAATCTCTGTGTTCGTCACCGGATGTTAGATAGTATTATTCATCTCACTATTGGATACAGATAAAAGGTTTTTTGCGTAAGAAACTTTTCAAACAAAACATTCAATTAATAACTATATATTGAAGTCATGAAGCAAAATGACGATTACAGTTTAATTACATAGCAATTTGTATAAGAAATTTCAGAAGAACACATATTTCATGGAAAGTTTACTTGAAAAAAGAAGTTGCGAATAAATCCGGCGGCATTTTTAGATGCACAAACTAGAATATCTTGGCCACATCCTTCACTAGTCCCCTGTTGGCTCGAGCGAAATTCGTAAACTCTTCGTGAGAAATGAATCCGTCACCATCAGTATCAATTTCAGCCATCATCCGTTGGATTTCTTCCGGTGTAACAGAACCGAGCATTTTCAATGCCTCGCCCAATTCCGATGCCGAAATTTTTCCATCCCCATTTGCATCGAAACGCTTGAATACTTTTTCGCGGTCGGCTACATCCTGTGGATTATCACCCATTGTTAATGGTTCTAATGTTGTTGGTGAGTGTTTGTTTGCAAATTTTGTTGGGATATTGGGAATGGAACTGTGTATAGATTGGCTTATAATGAGAATGTTTTGCCGAAGGGATACGGTCATCCTTGTTACTCGGTTTGAACAAGGCATATTTGTAACTTTAGTTCCTTTTGAATCGCTCGTCGATCCTATTTCTAACAGGAGAATGTAGAAACGAAGTTTTTCGCATTCGAGTAATCCTTACCTTAACAGGCGGCAAGATGCAAGATTTACGCCTCAGGAAAAAAAAATGCCACTGTAAAATTTAAATGAATGTCAGATACACCCCTCAACTAACTCAAACTAACAAAGACACCCTTTACATTAAGAAAATTCCACCAACCTCTCCTATTTCAAATTTTAAATAACTTATCCTACCCTTGACGCTTAGATCCATTAGTGTGATAAATAAAACAAATACAAATTGTTAATACCTAAATTACTTTTGAGAATAAAAGATAGAACTTCATGTGAACGGTCAACCAAACATGGTTAAAGGTCGAAATCACCATACATTGTGTTCTACGCACCAAAGATGTTCAATGGATAGTGATGAGTAACAAAACCAAAAAAATTGGTTAGCTCGAAATTGCTCTACGGTTGATGGTAAGCTTTTAAGATCAAGAAAATGGTTAAAGACCAAAATCACTAGACATCTTGCTCTTGGTGAGCAACAAAATAAAAAAATTGATTAGCTCAAAATCACTCTACGATTTGGCGGTGAGCCTTCAAATTATAAAATGGTTAAGGTTCAAAATCGCTACACCTTGTGCTCTACACTTCCAAATTGCCTAAAGAAAAATGGTGAGTGACAAAACCAAAAACTGGTTAGCTCGAAATCATTACACGGCCTAATGGTGAGCTTTCAAAGACAAAAATGGTTATGACTTGTAAATATTAGACCTCGAACTCTAACTACAAAAGTATCTAAAAGACTGCTCAACGAGCAATAGACCAAACGATGGTCATTTTGCTATTTAAAATAGAAATTATATTGACCTGCATAGAGGTTGGCTTGTGTGCACATGAGCCATATAATGATTGATCGCACCTCAGCCGGACGCACAGCAGTTGACGGTCGACCACCATGAGATTCGTCGCGCGCTTGTTGGCTGCTACACCATCAACTATTTTACTGTCAAAAGAATGGAGGGGGAAGAAAATTAAACGCATGTTATACTAGAGTCATTTTTTGAAAATGAAATCAACCATTATAGATGCAAAACGTAACATCTAGTCCACATTTTGGACCAAGAAAAACTATAGAGTAGTTAAATGACAAAAAGGGATAACAATGAAAAACGCAAGCAAATATTGAAAAACTAAAGTCACTCTAGGTGCGAACTCCCCCCACTTCCTCTCTGTGGCACTCTAGTGCTTCCAAATGTCTTGATTTGCTTAGCTGCTTTTTCTTTTATCTATACTTGCGTCAGAAATTGATTGTATTTAGAGGAATCAATGGATGGATACTCGGCAGCCACCCATTCTTTAGTAAGAGCGATAGAGGCCACCATTGTTTTTACCTCGTAGTCAGTCATGTCTTTAACATATTCCGAAGAGGCTTGTATTGATCTACTGCATCGATTTGAGCACGAGCTAAGAAGGAGCACAAGTTATCAATTTCATTCTCTTGTTCATTGATTCGAGACTCCATCTCCTTCTTCTGAGCCTCCTCGACATCGAGAGATTTCTTTAAGGCTAAATTGTCATTCTTGAAGTTGTTCACTTCTTTGTCCTTGTCTTCCTCAAGAGCTTTTAACTCATTAGTTAGAAGGCGATTCGCCCCAACAAGTGAAGTTTGCATCATTGAAACCAGTCAAGCAAATATGAAAAAAAAAAATACAATCGTCACGCGAACTTAGAGGTTTGAATATAAATGAAAACGAAGGAATAGAGCAAGAAGAATACCCTTCCATTGTAAACTGCAAAGACCCTTTCTATATCATCCACTCTAAGCCTAGACAAAGCTTTAGCTTGATCAGATATAATGAAGCATCGACCATATCAACTTTACGCACAACTCGGGTCGGAGGAAGCCTAAGATCTGGAAGTGAAGAACTATCACTCTCAAACCTGACTTCTTCAGGACTCGAGTTTTTCCCTCACACTTCATACGGTGGGAAGCCTCCTGTGGGCTCCTCCAATTTCCAAGGAGATCTCCTATTGGTGTCTTTTTCTTTTTTCTTGCTTGTGACTTTTCTCTTTTTGGGGAAGAGCATGGGACAACCCCTCATCACTCTTATGATCAAGCTCAAGTGGCGAGCTCAAAACTTCTTTGAAATCAAAGTCCATACCTGCATATAGGGATGTCAACGAGTTGAACCGAGCCGGCTCAAGTTTGGCTCGAGTAAAATGTAATGGGCTTTTTTTGAGCCTGAGCCGAGCAAAAGCTCGGGCCTTAATGAGTCGAGTCGATCCCGAGCTAGGCCTGCTCGTTTTTTTTTTTCATGACAATTTTTTACCAAATTTTTAATGACATATTTTTCAAAAAAATTACTTTTCATAAAGTTCATGTTTCGTCCCAGTTTTTAAAAATTCATGTTTCGTCCCAATTTTTTAAAATTCATTTTTACTTAAATCCATTTTTAACCATATATTTACGGGATCAACTTTTTAATCACAGATTTTATGAACTTTTATAAAAAATTACTAAAATTTTTATCTTTAGCCAAACCAAATAGAAGTAAATTATATTCTCAAATATCTACTTCAATCAAACTCTCTCGATATATTAAAATAGTTATAGCTGAATATTTTTAAAATGTTTAATCGCATTACAAATCTAACATTTTTAAAAATAATTTAAAATTTTCATCATTTATATGAATTACAAATTAAATAAAAGTTACAACTTACAAAATTTCATAATTTGTACAAATGACAAATTAAATAAAAGTTACAACTTACAACCCTCTTCATTTTTTGGGGCTTGGGACCCTGAGTTTATCATCGTAAGCGGCATCTCTGCTACCGTCACGTATGCAGCCATTCCTTCACGAATTCTTTCCTATGAATATACAAAGATGGAAAGAGTATAACCAGAATCGTCAAACTGTTTCGGGTCGAGATCGATTGGTTTCGCTTTGTAACTCCTTAATACATGTCTATTCAAATGCATTGTGCTCGAGCCGGGCTTCCAACTAAGTTCTTTGTAAAAGTAATTGTAACATGCTTTTCAAATATCTACTCCGTTTTGAACACCAACTTTTTACATGTCATATGTTGCTAACAATTCAAAGATTCTTTTTTCGACCTTTTAGTCTCGAGTACTTTTTCCTATTCAATATCCTACAAATCAATTGGAATATTTTGACATGCATCGTAGTCGGATGGAGTACTCGAGTTACCCTTAAACTGATTAACCTCATTACTAGTAAAATCCATTATAACTAGTACAGTAATAAATACTGAATATTAGATTTTAGAGTGAAAGAAATTGAAATGTTATATGAGAAGTGAGAATGAAGAAATTGAAGTTTAAACTTGAATCTATATTACAGTAATAATGCAAATTAAGATTGATAGAAATAAATTGATCTGAAATTTCAAAATTCACCCCGTATTTATAGACAAAAAAATCTGCCTTTTTTTTCAAATTTGAAATTCAAATTTGTTAGGGGAAGGGCCGAAAGGTAGAGCCACAAAATGCAGCTACTGCTGCCTTGTAAAATGGGCATGGCAGTTATAAAGTTGTCTTTTAAAGATAGCTTTATAGTTTCCTTAACTAATTTTTTTTTAATTTTTTTTTATTTTTCGAACTTTAAAAATTTAGTTTTTTTTTTTTTTTTGCTTTAATTAGGCTCAGGTCGAGCCAAAATTGTCACGGGTCATTCTTAGCCCGTCACACGAGTCGGTCCGTGTGGCTCGTCGAGCCACATGAGCCTGCTTGGGCTTCATTCGACGTCCCATTTTGGAGCTCAGCCTGTTTCTTCGAGCCTACCTGCATACATATAACCAAGTTGATCAAGTACAAAAGGCAACACATAATACGAAAATAAGAGCTATAAATAAGGACCTACCAATAGGTTGACCAATTCCTTATGTCAACATCTTCCTTATTGTTAAAACTTTATATAGGAGGGGTGTAAGGGGTGGTATGCGAGTTAGTTTTTGAATTTGAGAACTCAAAAGAGGAGTAGGCTCAACATGACTATTGAAAAGGCGAATTTGGGGAATTTTCCAATAAGTATTGAATGGAAATCGACCTTTGAAAGGCTGAATGAAGAAGAATCGAGATTTTACCCACTATTAGAATTTCTATACTTAGGGATACGAGGATGAACCCTGGTATTAAAATGGAAGAAGACATTATACCAGGGTAAACCATGCAACTCGAACACACACCTAAACAACTCCATGGAGGGCACAATCTTTTCACTAAGACAACGGTACAAGAAGTATATCGCTTTCCTCAATGCATTGGGATTTATTTGACTTGGGGTAAGATAAAGTTTGTTGAAGATTGAGGCAAAGAAATTATGAAGAGGAAATCTCAAACCTCCATCAAAACAATCTTTGTATATGGTAATCTCATGAAGATCTTGCCTGTGAAGCTCTTCTTTGGGCCTAGGGGCTCTATATACATATCGTCAACACGCGTGTACCTATTAAGCAGTTGATCTAACTTGGTCAGGCAATTATAAGAACTAGGTCCCTTTGGGAGATCAAGGACTACTGCCCTCCTTGTCGGGTCCCTTCCGATTTCGAGACTATCAACAACTTGAGGGGATCGATCGACCCCTCCATATTTGTTGGTCGACCAATCGACCTGCAAGGTCGGTTGACTGACCTACTGGTCTGGTAGATCGACCTGGTTGGTCAGTGCAGTTTGTCGACCGACCAGCCAGACCAACCTATCTTTCGATGAGTCGATCGATCCCCTTCTATTCTCTCTCTCATATCCACTCTCACCCCACTTGACTTCCGAGAGGATGATTTAGAATGTTCTTGGCTAGAAGATGATGATTAGCGTAGAATAATCTTTTAGATCGAAAAATTATGACAAGCAAGTTGGTGAAAACTGCCTAGTGTGTGGGCGTGCTGCATTATACACGTGGATGATAACCTTTTGGTCATTACATGGTGCCAAGCACCTATAAATACCTTATAAGCGTGCTAGGTATGGGAGACATTTTTC